GGGTGATTGCTGTGGCAAAAAGATCGATAGAAATAGCTGAGAGACGTGCGAAACAAAGGACCCGCATGGTGTGGTGGTGAACGCGTTACTCCCCGGAAAGGATAATAGCGCGTTCGTTCCCCACCATAGACACCTGCGGTCCAGAGTTTTGCAAACATCTCAGCAACGTTGTGGTTGCAACGACTATCATAAACCTTTTAGAAAGAAAATGGTATCCTGCCAATACATTCCACACAGGAGACAAGTACGGAAACTAGGATTACCGTGAAAATGCATGGAAATGCAGATATGTGAGCTGGGAGCCCAAACCTATCCAAGTTTGATTAAAATGTACAGAATGCAAGTGTCTACACCTTCAAGTAGCCCTCCGCGTCGACAACGGTTTTGAGTAAAACAACGGAGACATTATGTTGGGTGTTGCAACAAACTACATCGTTATTACGACACCATATTCGACGGAGCACACGCCACGTAGACCAAAACTAAATGCAGCCAATATAACAAATATTTTTGTTAAGATTGTTTTAGGAATCACCACACTATATTGTAGTTGCAAAAGTTATAGGTTGTAAAACTCTACGCAACGATTAAAAGTTGCAAAAGCCTCAGGATAATAAAAGTTGTAAATGTGAATGAACTGTGTACGAACTGTGTCCCTAGGGTTCTGCATAATAGGTAAAAAGTGCTGAGTGTAAAAAATAACGCTTGTAAGGCAAATGTTTTTAGACACAACGTTTTCAACCTCGGCGAACGGATATGAGATTAAACGTTTGCAAAAGACATTTTGTGAAAACACATTACCGAATGCATACTTTATGCACGTAGAATTATTCTATTTATTGCGTGGTAAAAAAGCTTTGTGCGGTAGGAAAAATGACCGAAAGAAGAAAGAAGAAGATGAGTTATGACTCATGGGTCTCGAAACCCATAACTTATGTTGTCACCAATATAATAATAAACTTGGGTTTGACCTCAGTTATAACGAATTCACTATTTGAAACCGTAATACCTCTTGCACCAAGGTAATGCAATCAAAAGATGAATTTTTCGATTTTTTCGCTTTCGGCAGAGAGAGCCATGCAACTCAAAACCTTCAGTCTTGGCATGTCAAGAATATCAAACAGTAATGTCGCGAAATCAAAGAAATCCTATACAAACTGCAGCATATATATCCAGGCATGATCAGCTGAAAATTCCTCTAGCACAAAACTCGATAACCGGTTGCATAATTGAAGCTGAAGAAGCTGAATGAATTTGCCTGCGAAACACTTCCTTATGCGCCGTACACTTTGGCCAACCTTTTCACGCATCTCGACAACAACTTCGAAAGAAACATCCAACAACCCAAGGTGTTCAACCGATCAAAATTAGTCCAAATCTGCTTTGGATAAGTCAACACAAGCAGGACTGCAAAAATCTAAGCTCACGGAGCAGCAAAACAATTATCTTTGGTAGGCAGAAAAGTGTAGATTCTAGTGGTCTTTACTCTCTGGCGGATCACTGAACGTCATTTCAACTATATTCCTGCCATAAACAAAAAGGCAAGAAGTGCGCCTCAGTATATCGAGAAACAATACATAAACGTTTGACATGCTCACAAAGCAAAGTGGCATTCGGTATACCCATGCACCTTTATTTCTATATTTCTCTAGAAAATTTAGAAAACAACGTACCATCTGTCCTCTTAAACTTTCAACTAATGAAATATTTCGAGTATCAATGGTATTATTGCCAAAACACAAAAAAACAGAGAACCCTTCCGAGTTAGTTACCTTATCTCACTTATAGAATAAGCAAAAAGTGAGCGAAGTAGAAAGTAGTTGAAACACCGAATTTCTTAAATAAAAGACAACTAGTAGTTCTTAATAAAATGACACGGAAAAAGTCGAACTTTAAACTTTGAATAAGAATTTCTTAACCCAATCCAAAGATAACAAAAGCTATTCGGTCGAGTAATTTAGGCCTGCAGAACTCCGGAATTTTATGAAAACAAGCGATGAAGAATATTACAATTAATACAGCAAATAATAACAGTAGATAGCAGTACTTAAAAATAACTTACATTAGCAGTGTGATGACTCAAATGCATGCGGCCATCTCCATGTACTTGTACATCGATTCCCATTTGTTTCAACTGTTTGATATGATCACTATTGCTGGCAGAAAAAGCCCAAGCTCTCAGACGTTCCGATCTTCAAATAATTCCATTACAACAACAACAACAACAACAAAACGATATAGAAACACTGGAACTAACGGTTTAATACAGTGGGATGACTGATGAGATTCTTGCTGCCTCTGCATATCAAATAATTCTTCAAGAACATCTTGAGTTCTTTCTCGTATTTGCATAGCCTCATCAGCTTCGGTTGGTTGTTGGTTTACTCCAACAGGATTCGCATATGCGTAGTACAGTTTTGACGTCAACGAAACATCATCAGGGCGGATAACTATACGACGAGGAATCTCAAACGTACCAATCATTACTGTGCGGCAGCCGTGTTTAATTCATCGATATAAGCCTTCCCCCCACCCCCATCGAGAAATTAGAAAAAAACAAGTACTTGTATTCACAATCCCATGTCTACTAACGATGATAAAATCTAAAAATTTAAAGCTGCCAAAAAAACAAACAGCTTACTTCATCCTGTGTGTTACCAATGCTTAACGGAAGGAAATGTGCTTCAGTTGTTAACACGTAATTATCCGGATCGAAAATCAAGTCGGAGGGTTCGGCAAAAATCATAAATAAATACTTGAATGTTTCCGAAAGCACAAAAGAATCCATCCTATAAAATAGGCCAACAATTAACCAACAACGATTTCCTTTGTTTACTAATTTCTTAAATTTATTGATTCTTCTTTTCACTGAACAAATTCAAAGACCGACAAAACCTACCGATCTTCGTGTGACATTGTTCGCACATCTTTCACACCGGCAAAGCCGCAAGGCACTCGAACGTACTCGTTTATACTCTCCATAACCTAGATAAAAAACTAGCAAGTAATGCTTATGTCTGTTGGATTTATATTTAGGAAGGACGAACGAAAAGAATTATCGAGAATATTACTTGATTTTCTTCAATGAAGCCCGAACTTTCTGTTTGCTCCTCTATCCTTCATATTTCTTAAAATATTCGCAATAAGGCAGGCTTCTCGCCAAACGCTAATAATCCCTCAACCATAAGAACACCTGAGTAATTTAAAACATAACCGATTTATAGAATAAAATTTCATTGCATAGTCACGTCCTACTGCATAAAATCCCGCTTTGTTCAATTACTTCAGATCTTGAGATACAAAGCTCGACAAAAAAAAAGGCGAGAACAAAAAAATCTAGCGGGCTACAAAATGAATTCCAACACTATGACCTAGCTATCCATTCCAAGCAAGCTATGAGGTGACATATTTTCATTTTTTTTTCCAAATTACAAGCGAAACTGTCTCCACTGATGTACTCAATGAAATCAATGCTCAGCATCGTAAAAGTGCTAATAACGATTAGAAATAAATGTCGAATGATTCCTTGCCACCAGGACTACTACTGGCTTCAACAAAACAGTTGTTGTTTCCTGTAGTCCTTCATTTCTGCACAGTGGACTCCGCTAAAATGAGGGTCACGAAAAGCACCATACTTTAGCCATAAGATCACTGGGCTCACTGTTTTCAATGATAATTCAGCCCGAGGTAAACCACCTAGCTCAACCGCTGCATACGCCCAATGCTTAGCTGGATTTCACGACAAGAACAACGCCTCAGATTCGATAACCTCGAAATTAGCTTGAAGACACTCCCTTGTGACGACAAGGAAGTAAATCATTAAGAAGACTGCGAGATTCAAACTGGTCATTCATAGCACCAGACATACCTGTTTAGCGACTAGCAGATAATGGGGATCCTTTGTCGCACGATAAAGGAAATACGTGCTTTCTATGAACTCTGGACGGATAGGGTGCTCGGCCCAATGCACTTGGAAGTCGTGGGTAAACGCTTCTGGCAGAAACTTGTGCTTCTGAAACCACTGAAAAACTTGCTGTGGCAATGGTTTCCAAAGCGGTAACCAACCTGCACAACCTGAAATAACATCTCGTGCATTTCAATAGCCCGTTTGACATCGCCTTTTAGAACCTAAAGCGAGAAAATAAGTAAATCTTCAGAAGAAACTTTGGAAAATTGTATTATTCGATAAACTAAACAAAAGGTATACATTGCATATGCTACAGCTGCACAACTATTACCTGAAGGCCAGGCCAAAAAGCGAGAAGAGAATCCATGAAGGAACGCGTTGCCACAGTAGGTCTATGCATATGCACGTCAACAAATAACGGACCTTTGTTAACATACCGCATCACCGCCTCGTAATGCTACAATTACGCTAATATACTAAAAGAGGGCATTATTTTCTGCCTAAAAGGTTGTTATTATAACCAACCCTATCGAATCGTTCCAAAAAGCTTTTGTCACCTAGAAGAATGTACGCCTTAAGGCAATATTCATAATAGGAGTCGATTCCAGCACCAATTCCACTTTCTAAATATTTAGCCTTTCAAAAGAAATTGACAACTGAACAGGTCAAATCCAAAGTCCTAGAAACAATGCGAAATTCCTAAACAGAAATTAGCCGTCGCACTATAAACCACATATAGAAATGAACTTTTTGACTAAAGTAAGGAAAATGCTCAAGTATTATAATAAATAAATGATTCACCAAATATTTCGTTCTAGGGTTTTACATTACTCCAACTCGACTTCTTGTGCATTCCCCCAATTGTTCCAATAGCAACGATCTGCAGTGGGAATATCTTATCGTCAATCCCTATCAAGAGACAGACTCGGTTTTTCACGTGTAATCTGCTGCTGTGCGAGAGGCGAGATCCGATGGTGGCAACTAACGCGCAATCCACCTATCGTCTGTCGTCTATAAACTCCTCACTCGTGTTATCCTCAACAATAGTAACGGACACTGGATGAAAAAAAAAAGTGGTATAAGGATTTCGAGAACGACCCAGAAGAAATGGTCACATCCTCACGCTAATGGAATTCACTGAAGTATCGAGAGAGTACACAAGACAGCCTAACCTACCTTTCATAGACTTAAAAAGACTGTCGATTTCACTGCGAGATAGAACCAAAGCGTCCTTGTCCAACACATGAAGATCTTTCCTACATTATACAACAATTTCACAACTAGAATTTTGCCACTTTACAACGACACTATCACCCACAGCAAAACAGAAGCATAAGAAGCTGACACGACCTCGCATGAGAGCGGAAGACGAAAACTGCAATGGGACTACATGGAAGTGAAAGTTCATGGTTAGCAGTTACACTGCCTTCCTTTCTGTGAATTTCTAATAGCAAGCGGAGAAAGAATTACTGATCGACTGCGATAGTATCTACAGAAACATTGTTTTCGTACCATAAGGTAACAAATATCTTTAAATTCTATAGCTATTTGTATCTCGATCAAGAAGTCAACATGATGAACAACTCAGCTCCAGAGTTGTACAAGTGTAAATGACCAGCTCCGGGAGCTCACAATAACACCGAGAGAGTAGCGAAAAAAGACAGCTAAGTACACGAGTCTCCGTGCTCAGGTTTTCAACTTTGAGATTCGTCCTCACATGAAGTATGTGCCAAAAATTTGGAAACTAGACATGAAGGACAACGAACCATTGATCGCATTCGAATGTGCAAGCAAAAAGGTGTTCTAACAGTATTCCACATCGTGCAACTGAAGGAAAGAATCTGAAGCTCTTAAAAACTTTGTCAATGGACACAAATTAGAGACGCCGCTACGCGCCCCACAATATCTCAAATGCGCTAAGCCAGCCAAGTGATACGTTTTAACCAAACCCGATAGACAAGTTTTCAGTGATTAGGTTCCTCAGGGTGGCAAACGCATAACAAGAAGACCACCGAATCACGCTCAGAAACACTTGTTAAGACCTATTAGAAAAAGATGATGTTCGGTAAGGTTCTAGAGCGAGCAGAATTCATTTGTACTTTTCCACTCGTCACGAACAAATGGATACGTTCCTAGCACCCACTCGCTTCGTGTCACTCGACGACTATATATATATGTATATATACATATATATATATATATATACATATATATAAGGCACGTGTGGCACAGTGGTTGGAGGCGCCACTGCGACACGCATATGAACTCGATCCCCCGCGCCCATGGCCCATCAAGTCTTCCATCCTTCTAGGGTCGGTAAATTGTTACCAGACTTGTCTGAGAGGATAGCAGCACTGGCTCGATACATCGGTAGTCCGCCACGGGTTATTGTAAAGGCCAGATACAATCACCTCCACGATACTTAATGAAGTCGAATGCATGGTTGCATGGCGCATCTCTCAGCAATTCATAAACACCGAAAGCTTTATCCTTTACACGTATATATATACACATTATATATATATATGTAAATATATATATATACCCTCCTAACAGTTTACCACCTCATCGTGGCTGGTAGGTGTTCGTGGGTGTCGGACTGCGATGTACAGCGGGGATTCATCTCCTGATAGGGTCTCCCAAGCTGAGAAGGAGTCCGCCGTTTCCACCAGGAAGCCTATCTAAGAGTAAACCAATACCAGGACTTACCACCGTCCTGGTATCAAAGTCGCATGGTGGGAAATCTCCCTCTGATCCACAAGGGATGCGAGCGTCTGCGGGGGTAAAGATCTGGGGCACATTTTGGCCAGACTGACCACGGGACTCCAGGGAACCATAATGGCTTAACTAGCAAATCTCCGAAAAATCGAGATTATGATGGGGCCTGTACAACCAGTGAGGACTGGCCATTCAAGTATCAAGTAGCAAATATGATGGCTTTTGGGTATTGTATGAAGTAAAGGAAAATCAAACCCATAAGGTAAACAGAGTAAAATTCTTCGCACAAGTTTACAAATCCTTACTAAATACTGACACCAGTACGATTGGATTATGATGGAGTTTTCGTTTCATTACAAAGAATAGTTGTATATATACATAAAAATAAGAGGATGTGTACAGAAAAACAAAGAACGAACGTAGGACAAGGGATGAGCAAAAATTCTTTCAAAAGGAGAAAAAAACCGAATTATTTAATGAAAATCGGGCGCAGCTTCCGAACTAAAGGACAGTGTGGCCGATGTCACCTCCATAGGAGCAATAGCGAACCAGTCAAAAAAAGTGCATTCAATGTGTGGCGCAATCTTAACATACGTTTCGTGGTTATACCTACAATAGTACTCAAGATTGCTGTGCAACGAAGGGAATTTGAATTAGAACAAAGGCTATGGAGTTAAAAAATTGTCAAGTTCTAACAAACCTCTTCGAACCCAATCGCCTGAATGAACATTTAATACCGTTCCCATCAAATCTGATGCACGATGTCGTTGCCTCCATAAGAAGTCCATAGCTTTTCTAGCCTAAGTATTCAAACGTGAATGAAGGATAATCAAAAAAATCAGAGAAGAACTGTCCCTACTTTCTCCTCATATATGCTATTTCCCGTTAATCTGGAAAGGGCAGCCATTTCTAACAACATTGTGCCACTGCAAGCAGTACAAGTATCCTTTTGTCGCTTCAGATGATCCAACATTCCGTGACAAAGGTTAATCTGAACATGACTCTATTAGGAGTGAGCACATGTGCCTAAATTAGCTATGAACAGAAATTTTGATCATAACTGAATACTTCCAAGTAAAGAAATCAAATTTTTAAGTCCGAGAAAAAAGCCGTCCTAAAAATGTGAAACAAGTGCACCAGTTACTCAATGTATATGTTTACTTACACATTTCTCAATAACAGATTAAGCAGAGGACAATGTTTTTTTGACAGGAATTTTCAATAGGACATTGACATAAAGTAACTACAAATAGCACAGAATTCCCACAAAACATGGGAAGCCAAGTAGGTAAAACATCTTAAAATTCTCATGACATTTGATATAAAAGGATAAAGTTCTCGGCGTTGATCAATCCCTGAGAAAGGGCCATGCATTCGACTTCATTAAGCATCGTTTGGAGGCGATTGAACGGATATCTAGCTTTTACAGCCTTGCGGTGGCCTACCGATGTATCAAGGCACTGCTGCTATTCTCCCAGACAAGTCTGGTATCAATCTGCCGACCCCAGAGAGATGGAAGGCTTGGTTAGCCTTCGGCGCGGAGATCACTCCCATGTGTATTGCAGGGCGCCTCCGACCACTGTGCCATACGCGCCCTTACATTTATACTGTAACATGTCATTACGACACGTAACGTAACGAGAAAGCAAATATTTAGCAGCCGTACAATGTGTTAAAGTTGAAAAGTCAACATGACAATCGATTACCCTGCTGTAGGGAAGACCGGATGACGTGTTAAAAGCAGGAAGCAAACGATTGCCGATATCCACAGCCATCATAAGTAACTGCCCACTGTCGTACCATTTCAACCGCGAAGGATCTTTCGAACGTACCAGCTCAGCCATAAGATGTGCTAAAATAATCTTTATGTCAGAAAGCAATCCTCATAGAACAATGTTACGGCTTTTCAGGTTTTGAATGTGTTCACTCATCAGGCGTTATGGTCACTATATTGCTCAAATTTATTTCCCTCAAATGCCACTGCTCAGCACAAAAATCACGCGTTGAATAGACTAGTCAAAGAGAGATATTGTTCAGTAGACCTTTGTTTATGTTATTCTCAAGCACACAGACCTTTCAACTGCAACAACTTTCCAAATTGAAAGAACCCAAAACTTCCTAACTGTAAAAAATTATACGTTAATATCAATAATAACCACAGCACCGTCAAAAAATGCAGGATTTTGCGCGAAACCTGAAAGTTGAAAAAACAACGTGTGGAATAAAGATTCAAACACACCAGATAGAAGTCCGCCGAGTATTCGAATATTTGTCTCAAAGACTGAAACTATGAGATCGGAATCGAAGCGCACATTATCCACAACCAGTTTCACAGCTCTTTCAAACTCATCAAGAGCACCAATAACGACCAAGGTATCCAAAGTATCCACAAGAGTGAGCGAGAAACTAGAAATTAATAGTGAAGATGGCTAGAAACAAATTATGGTAGCATTTTAGCAGCATTCACTAGCTACAACTGAAGGACTTCTTATGGTAACGCGCGATTGCTCGAATGGAGGAAGGTGTTTGAGTAGACAATATTTATACAAAATCTCACATATGCCCAATGGTTCTGTGTTTTATAAGACTACACTAATCTAAATGGATACTCGGATGGCCTATCTACACTAGGTGTGCGGACTCCAGCATAATTTCCATTGTTTCGGAGCATTGCTGGCTTAGTCTTTGTGGTTCCCTGGAATCCCGAGGTCAACCAGAACAAAGTTTGCCTCTGGTCGTCACAACGACAGGCAGTCGCCGCTGTTGTGTATCAGAGGGAGATTTGTCACCATGCCACTTGTTTGGTACCAGGACGATGGTGGATCCTGGTATTCGTTAACTCTCAGCTAGGTTTCCTGATGGAAACGCCGGACTCCTTGTCAGATTGGGAGGCTCTGCCGGAGGTATGAATTCCCTCGCTGTACATGGCCGCCCAACACCCAGGAACACCTCCCAACCAAAATGAGGCGGTAAACCGTTGGGAGGTGTATGGTACCATATAATGAGTAATAAAGTAAGCGACTCTTAAACGTTACATGCTACCAAGATATTCACCTTCTGCAAATATATTATACCACACCGACAATCTATTTAAAAAGTAGAGACCATAAATACGAACTTTCCAAGACTGTCGTCAACGTCTCCTCGGCTCGGGGTAACCCCGCGAACCCGTCCACGACATGACAAGGGCATCAGTTCGTCTGCAGGATAAGCATACTTCATATAAGAATTGTATCCATGCATAAACATCTCGACGACACGTTCTCTGAAATGATATTTCTCAGATAGCGTACTTTCGCGTTAACTTTTTGTCCACTCGAGAGTCTTCAAGTCTTTCAACACCACACCCCTATGGATGCAGTTATCCACTTCTAATTGTGATGGCCGTACCAACATCCTAAAAACAACAATTTGTGCGAATAGATCGCCGTTTAAGGTTCATTTCGAAATGATTCAACGAAAAGAACGGTGTCAAACTCTTCAGCTTCCAGAAAAAAAAGGGTAGACAAGTACGAAACTCAATAGGGATTCGAAGAAAATCAAGAACGCACCTCATCTCGGTTTTATTGACTTCGGCCAAACATTCACACAACAGTGTACATAGAAATAACAGTGAGGTGTTCAAAAATAACATTGTGGAGCAGCTGGAAGGCACAAAGAACGAGTAGAAACGGAGCGGAATCGCACCAGGAGGGTCGGAAGCTCGTCTCAGTGACCGAGTGCCATGGTCATGCGCCTGCAGGGCAAACGAGTCACCAACAAATATCGAACTCTGACCTACAGAAATAGTGTCGGTATAACTGAATATACACTTCGAAAGATTCGACATGATCATTAGACAAAAATCTTCACATAGAGCAAGGTAACGAAACGAGGACACTGAAGATCTGGCACGGAACGGAGAGCAGACCAAATCGCACGAATGAAGACGAATGGACCTAGTTACCCCAGAATGCTACAGCACTAATGGAAGAACGCAACTATGAAACAATGAGAAAGTCCAAGTCCTGGCGTAACCGTATAAAACTGGTCATAATTTGGATTGGGGCGTCGTAACATTCTGCAAGACTGTGCTGGACCATGGGCTATACGAAAAATTTAATGCTCTTCAAGTGTTCCCGGATGCCGTATTCTACATTAAGTTCATAAATTGTCTTATACAGAACGGAAAATTGTTGGATACTTCTAGGACACCATGAACACTTCCAAAATTTCATTCTTCAAGCATTCCTCAAACTAGGTATACTCAACGATGACTACTACGTCGCCTCCTTCTCTAAAAACAAACCTATTCTTCAATATCATCGCTTTCATTTCTGGCTATTTACTCTGTTCATAAGAAAGCCTTTAACACCTTACTAGATGCTGAGCAGTTATCAACTGAACATTCACAATGCAGTAAGGATGGTTGCTTAAATGGGATTATTTGCTCTTCAACTTGAAAAACACTTCATTTTTTTGCATCTCCGATATTCGTTAGTTCCATTTACAATACTACGGGTTGTTGTGTGGAAACTGGATATAGAAGGTAAAGCAAAAAAAGAAAGAAAAGGACGCGATGAGGATATATTAAGATGGCACACTTCACACTGACCATACACATACATAGACGAATTTTCAATAAGAAAAAAATTCTTTGGATAGGTGACTACTCCGCCCTGAGGCTCTGAGGCTCTCGGAATGTGAAAAAGCAACTGGTTTGCCATAAGGTTGGTCTTCCCGTCAGTTTACAAAGTTCGTGTGTAATTACGGCAAAATGTCGTTTTCGCGTAATGCACACGATTTCGGTCATTCCTATACTTTAAAATTTATCTCTGTTATTTTTCTTTTTTCCATCTATCATCTAATGTCTTTCTCAACCGAGTTGTACTTCACAGTGGACTTTATTTCTAGGATATGTATTTTTCCGGTTAACAGAGTTCTTAAAGGTATGCTTCCAAAAAGTGCTTATCATCTCTATCGATGTTTCTCAACAACTCCGGTTCCGTCCAGTAAAATCAGCAGCGTGGCTGTAATTGGTGCTGGATTGATGGGATCCGGTATAGCCCAGGTTTTCCATTTTTGTTCTTAATGCGAGAAATCATTGCAAAATGTCATTTTTCTAGCCTTTTGAATAATGTTTAACCTTCTGCAACGAACTACTGCATAGTTCTCATTAGGTGTCTGCAACAGCAAAACTGGATGTGATGTTGGTGGATCGATCGGACGAACTACTCGAGAAATCACGGAAAAGCATCCATGCAAATCTGTGCCGTGTGGCCAAAAAGGAGCACGCCAATGACAAAGGGGTTGGCTTTTTCGTATTTTTAAGATGTTATTTTTTCTGTATAAAGGACAAAAGGATAAAGCTCCTGCCGTTGATCATCTATGCTTTGCCCGTGTGATTAACTTTAACTTCGCTGATTCTAAAACAAATTGTTTCCTAATACAAAAGAACACATGGGATCGATCCTCGCGCCCGAGGCCCACTAAACCCTCCATCCCCCCGGGGTCGACAAATCGGTACAAGATTTATCCGGTAGCATAACAGCACTGGTTCGATACATCGGTAGGCCATCGCGAGTCATTGTAAAGACCAGATATGCATTTAATCACCTCCAAACGATGCTTAATGAATTCGAATGCATGACGCATCCCTAAAGGGATTGATCAATACCGAGAGCTTTATCCTTTATTTATCAACAAGCACCTATCGACGGGTTTGATCTCGGGAACACATTTTGGCATTCAACCTAGTTAAGCTGAAGCTGTGGTATAAATCACTTTGGTGATTGATGATAACACCTATAAAACACCCCGGAGAGAACGTCGAAACAAGTGATCCGCATAGTGTGTTCGTGAACGCGTTAGCCCCCGGAAAGGGGTAATTGCGTATTCGATTTCTACCGCAGACACCTGCGTTCCGAATTTTTGTAAATATCTTAGCCTCATTATGGTTATATTTCACATCATGCTTTCTATGAAGAAACAACAGGCAATAAATATAAAGTGATTACTTTGCAAACTATCTCGGGGCATTTTACCACCTTGGCTTTAGGCGCAAGATGCACTTGTTGAGGGTGCTTTATCTCGGCTACACACAACAACATCTTTAGAGGAAGCAGTGAAGGAACGGAATTTGGTAATTGAAGCAGTTGTGGAAGATATTGAAGTAAAGCGGAAATTGTTCAGCGAAATTGAGTTGATCACGAAACCGTATGTTTTCATCGCCATATTTGTGTTAATATAGTGTAGTTACTCTTGAGAAATAGTAGCTCTACTTTATTGACAATTATCTAAATTTGGGTTACAGTGACCATTGCTTAAACGTTTAGTTCTGCAGTTTTTGTTACTAATACATCGTCGTTTCGCCTGGAAGATATTGGAATCGCAATTAAAGCAAAAGAACGTTTTGGTGGCCTCCACTTTTTCAATCCTGTTCCAGTTATGAAACTTCTCGAGGTACACGTTTTTAAGACATTCTCTGTATTCGCTTTAAGCATTGTACTCTAGGTTGTCCGGCATAAGGATACATCTGACAGTACATTTGAAACGCTCATGGAATACGGGAAGGAAATTGGAAAAAAAACTGTTGCGTGTAAGGTTAGCGAGTAACGTTATCACTGTTAATGCTATGGACTGCATGGTATTTTCTTGACGAGTAACTAATTAATGTAGACCTCATACAGATTCTGTTCCGCAACTCATTTATGGACGCAAAATAATACGAATCATTCAATATATTTTTTTCATGATATCCCTAATAATATGCAATATTTGGCTTAATATTTAGGTGAATTAGTGTTACTTATACATATTTCCTTGTTAATTAAATGTAGAAAGTTACGATAATTTCTTCCTAAAATGTCGACCTGTTAAACTTAGGCGTAGCTCATTCTTGTGTGATGTCAAGTATACTTGCTACTTACCTGATTATTTCGGGGTTTTATTTCTTACTGATCATCTGGTTTTTCTTTCAGGATACCCCAGGCTTTATTGTAAATCGTTTGCTGGTGCCTTATATGTTCGAAGCGCTGCGAATGGCAGAGCGTGGAGACGCTTCTGTGGAGGTTAGTGATATCCCACTACTTTTGGTGTTGAAGGCGATACAAAACAATGGTTTTCGAAAATAACTATTTCTTATTGCAAACAAAAAACAGTTGACAATTCGTTAAGTGGAAGCAGTATGTGCTTAACTCCCGTCATTAATAGGGAACAGTGATAGTCATTAGCAATGTTTCGGATGAAAAGAAATCGGTGGATGCCTGCAAAATCTTCATTCTCTGTAGCGTCCTTGGCCTTTTATTAATTTCCGCTACTGGTTGTGGACTCATAGAGCGTCATATTTGTTCTGTAGGTTGATCGTGAAGAAATCTGACAATCATGTCAGTGGTCTTCCTCTTGCACCGTTGACATTCTGGGGTACCACTTGCTATCGAATCGTGTCTATTAAGTGTCGTACCGACATAGATGTCCACATATTCGAGGTCCTGGTCAATGCAACACCTTTCATGATTCTCAGTATTTCAAATAGGTCAGAGATTTGTATTATACTTGTGCGAAACTGGCCACATTTTGAGTCAATCTCTCGTCGCTGAGTTTACATCCTTTTGGCTACTGTCAAAATGTGCGACGAGTCCTTTAGACCAAAATGAATCGTGGAATCTGAGAGGTTTTTGCGAAACAGGCTGTTCTTTGTATTGACTGCGTTCATGATGTCCTTGTAACCTGCTGAGACCGTATTTTTTCCCTGTTTATCTATAGTATAATTTCGAAAGGGGTTCAGTACAATTAATTACATCAGTATACAGTTAAATACAGTACAGTATAATGAAACTTGATAAAGTATCGTGAATGTTGGAAAGTCTGCTGTGATAGTCTATATTCGACATGCAGATAGAGGCAGCTACAGGAGAGCTGTACGACGGTATCTACGCTCAGTACACATATTCCTAGGGTGGTTTTCATAAGTGTACCCAGAACGTTGGCATTTTACAGCAGGATTATAGGGCGAATAGAAGAATCGGAGAAACATTATCGTTTTTAAATAATTACTCTGCGCTAATTTTATAGCTATTAAAAGCCGCAGTGGAGTAACATAAGAGTGGATTACGATGGAGGGTAAATACAATATCTTTATCTATTTGATGCATCGCCCTTATAACCTAAGCGCTAACCAAAAAGAAGAGTAAATACTGGTTAGTTTTCACAGGCTTATCACAGCGAACGTCTCACATCTTTGAATGAATATAGAGAGAGAATCTGTATCTGAGAAACGGAACGGTTTCGTAACTGATTAACCGTTGACGCTTAATGGAACAAATATCTCCGAATGGTTTTGTCACATCTATATGAGGAGAAAATCCAAAATTGAAATTTCATTAATGGCTTAGCTCTAAAGCTGAACGGTGAATTAAAAAGTAAAGCTTTTGGCAGTGTAAATACAGTGCCCTGGCATCATTTGCCATATAGGTGTTCTGATTTTCAGGCCATCCCTTGGCCCACCTAAGGGTTTTTGTGGTCGTTTCCATATTAACTTTTTCATAAACCGTTTACTTTTTTTAATTTGCTTATACTGAGAGCATAGACGAATTGGTCCTTCTGGGAAGGAAGAGAATCAAGAACTGGACGTGCTAAAGAAAAGCTGCAACTACAAAGCAGGTTTTAAGGATCTGCAGAAAGTATAATCGTCGAATAAAATTCCACGCGTGAGAAATGCATTGATTACACAGCCATGCAATGCACGTTTGGTCACTGATTCTACTCAGTTCTGGGATTAAACAAACTACTCATGCTGTCATGATTGGCAAATTACTATCAGATTTGTCGTTTTCTTGTTCAGTAATCGCGAGGTTTTTAAACAGCATACATTTACTTCCATAGAAAAACACAATACAATACAACGCTAGCTGACGTTTCGGCAGTATCGCCTTCTTTAGAGCCTGGAGGGGTATACTGATATGCAATCTATTAGGCCAAGCGCTTCAATAACACTTACAAAAAGACGAAAAACTCTTTGGTAATTACGTGATCAGCAGCTTCTCGAAAAACTTACCACTTTTTACGTGAATTCCAATGAGGAAGTTTAGAACAGCTGATTATAGTCGGATATGGTTGATGACTGCACCATCCCACACCAGAAATTGATGCGAACATACAGGATCAGGTAGCGTATGACCTCCGTGCATTCATCCCTGCTATTCATTGTAGGGTTTTTGGCATTTATCCAAAAAGCCTCAAGGAGTTTTCGCGCTGGTGTTTTGGACTCGCTAATAGCAGGGACGAATGCCCGGAGGTCATACGCGACCTGATCCTGTATGTTCGCATCGATTTTTGATGTGTGATGGTGCAGTCGTCAACCACATGCCACTATAATCAGCTGTTCTAAACTTCCTCATTGGAAGTCACGAAAAAAAGCGGTGGGTTTTTTCGAGAAGTTGTTGATCACGTAATTACCAAGGAGTTTTTCGTCTTTTTGTAAGTGTTATTGAAGCGTTTAGCCTAGTAGATTGCATATCAGTATACCCCTCCAGGCTCTGAAGAAGGCGATATTGCCGAAACGTCAGCTATCGTTGTATTGTATTGTGTTTTTCTATGGAAGTAAATGTATGCTCTTTAAAAACCTCGCGATTGCTGAGCAAGAAAACGACACATTTATATTCCAATGCCGAGGTTAATAGAAAGTCGATCCTGACAACTATCAGATTTGTGTTAGAAGGTTCCTCCTATTTGAAACCTCTGGGACTCTCTAATATACATATACAAAGGATCTAGTAGAGCTACCTTAGAATTTTAAGTTCGATGATACTCGACCGACACTCAACTACAATAAGAAGGCAAATTTCTTAGTTGGTAGCTAAATCCACAAATGTGAGCACTTTCATGAATGACAGATGAAAAGCAGCGAAGCGAATGGAGGAAATATTGATATCGGCGCGATATGTGAAAACGACTGGTGTAGGTAAATAAAAAAAAAAGTAACGTTTCGTATATACGCGCATTCTCTTGGATTGACGGGTAATTAGTGCATTATCCTGGAGATGTTTCTTAGCGACTTTTATACTTGCTATCTAGGTTCGTTGTGCAACATTTCAGGTTGCTTCCTGTCAACGATATAGAGGGGCGAAAATTTGTAAAAGATAATCGTAAAGTTCTCAGGATCGACTTTTTATTAGCCTCGGCCATGGATTATAAGTGCGTCATTTTCTTGTTCAGCAATCGCGAGGTTGTTAAAAAGGATACATCTACTTACTTAGTAATCGTAAAAGAAGATCTTTATACAGTAATATCGAGTGCAGTTTGAATTCTGGTCAACTAGGAGTACTTGGCACCACCATACTCAGCAGACTCTGCCTTCAGTTCTCCGGGCGCTACGACTGTACTCGGGATGCCCGAAACGCCTGTGGAGCGTTAAGTTGTAAATCATTCATTCCTTTAAGAGCAGGAGCTTAACAAACATTTAACACCACTAATAGTTACTCGAACGATTTCCTAAGCCGTTATAGGAGAAAGACATCCATACTATTTTTAAATTTTGTACTTAAGTAGTTGGTCGGCCTAGCCATTGCGTCGTATGCTGCAACATGGCCTTCTTGAAGTAAATTTGAAAAACATGAAGTAAAATGAAGGGCATGAAAACGGTGCATCGGTTTCCGTCCGATCTGTAGTTGAATATTGAGGAGAGATTTGCCACATTTCCTTAATGTAGACGTGCAAGTGGTTACTTCCATTTATTGAAATAATCAAATCTGCTACGACGTTACACCTCTGTGAAAAATGTAACACATAGAAGTAGTTCTTTATAAGCCTTCGTACGTTTAATTCTTCACGGTTTTTGCATACGTCACCACATTTGCGACGACATGCATTGATTTGCACGCGTGCATACCCAGATATAATTTGGTCGTTCAACTTCGAGCAAATATTATATTTTGTGTCGGATTCCTTTTTGTTGAAGTAAATTCTATTATGATTGTTAGGTTTTCGGAAACAAAATGCAATTTTCTATTCTAATTCATTAAAATTCTGGTCTTTTGGAGCACATAGGACTTTGTTTTTGGATTTTTGCTACCCAGAAATTTAAAATTCGTCCGTTTATAATTCCTGTGCCTACGTTTGAAGTTTTCAAAATGTTAGTTTTATTCATTTTTTTTAGAAATCTGAGAGCTTACGGAATTCTTAATCAGAACGGCATTTGAAAAAATTACTTACTTATAACCCTAGAGCGAGGCTCTAAACCCTATTTTATAAGAACGTCTGGTCTTGGAGTTAAAAAGTGCTCAAATTATCGATGAATCGTTGACGTCGAAAATACAACTACTCCAGTTCTTCAGATCAGCATGACTTGATATCTTTACAACTGTGAAATTTGCAAATCAGTTCTATCAAAATTTTAATGCACGCTTTTTTCTGTTTTCATCAAGATTGGATTTTGTACGTCTTCTCATCGATTTTCTGGAACCAAGTTTTCTGGAAAACTTCGAAATACTACATGTGCCAAGAATTCGTGATCAAATCGCAATCAAATTCCTGAAGGCCCGTAAAAATCGTTAGCCGTTCATAATGGTGAAACTACATATTTGGGTACCTGAATAGTCTGTTTTCACAAATTATACAGTGCTCAATGCCATTTCCAGCTTTTAATTTGTTGAAGAATTTTTACCATTAATACCATATTGCTTTTAGTTGAAATTCCGAACGTAAAGTAATAATCTATTAGCTTTGTGAGCTTCTTAGGATTCTCCTCTGTTGTAGATCGTAGGTGCTCCATATTGTGGAACACCCTCTAACCGCAGGAAATTCATATGTTTTGTCTCCATAAGCATCGTAGAGGTGATTAAATGCATGTTTGACGTATGTAACAGACAGCTAACTGCTTTCCTACCGCGCTAGTTGCGCTATTTTATGTATAATGATGGCAATGATACTCGACTTAATTAATGCTGTGTGTTTAGGATATCGACATAGCAATGAAGCTAGGTGCTGGCTATCCGATGGGACCATTCGAGCTATGTGATTATGTCGGTCTTGACACAACAAAATTTATCATGGATGGTGAGGTTTTCTAGGTTGCATGTGATTGGTTTGGAAAAAGAATGTTATAAGTTTCTTAGAGGATACGTAGATTGGATTGCGGTTCTGAAAATAAAACGTATTGGAGGAAATACAACTGCCTATGTCAAACCCTTGGTTGCTTCTTTAATTCTTCCAATTATTTCTGTCTTACTTTTCTTCACCCATTTATTTGCCTTAGAAACATTATTTCTATAATTGTAAAGGTACATAAAGATTAGGATCAAGTACTGACAAGGTTGAGCTATCGTAATGCCACTTTTTAGATGAATTTGCATAAATTTTCCTTTCTTAACATGCGTAATCTGCGCTATATTAATTAGCGGAACCTGAAAACAGTGTGCTCGCATTATTATTACCTCGATGGACTCTCTTTCGGACCATATTATCATGATGTAACACGTCTTTTACTGTTTAATACACTATAAGAAGTTGTCTTTTTTCGATCCAGTGGTAACTGTGCTAGTTATTATCTATTAAGGGTGGCACAAGCAATACCCGACAGAGCCTCTTTTCAAACCCAGTGGCATGCTCAGCAATTTGGTTGAGAAAGGAAAACTGGGTCGCAAGTCAGGAGAAGGTTTCTACAAATACGAGAAACACTAATGAAGCTAAGTAATTCGTTGATCCATAAATGCCATATTTTCATAAGTTCCAATGCATGTATTCAGTTTTTCTTTTCACTTGTTTTCGAGTTCTGTTCATTGAAGTTTGCTATCTTATCTGGATTTCATTCTTGGATAAACAAAAAAATTCCAACAGTACGTATGCTTAGCGTTCATATACGATGAGCATACATACAGCAATGCTTCTGTGATTGATGTACAGCTAGTTAGTTGAATTCTTTCGCTTCCTGTGCTTAATATATACTTAATATTCGAGGGCGTAGGTTCAGCAGATTTTCTTCAGTTAACCTCACTCAGTTGGAGAACTAAGGAAACTCACAAGTGGCAAAAAAATGTCGTTAGAGATTTCTGGTTGAGATTTTTGATTGGTTTAAGGTCCTCAGAAGGAACCATATTGTTTTCTAAAATCTTTACATATATGTAATCTTTTGTTGGTGTGTGCGTATATATATGTGTTTGTATGTATGTTTATGTGTATGTGTGTGAGGACGTAAGGATCAATACTTTATTTTTATTCTGTGCAAGAATTGTAATAATGTGATGACATCTCGGGTGTACGCTGCTTCTCTTTCGATTTCCTCGACTAGGTGTTGAAGGCGTGCATAGGGCAATTACACATTGATTGCCTCATAGGGTTTGCAAATCGCGTGATGTGCGTAGGCCTCGAAAGAATTATGGAAACGATTTATAACGTTGGTCAAACATCTTAGGATTTTATCTTACTCGCTGTCTATGTGTTTTTTTCCTCGAACGAAAAACTGCTCTGAAAAGTGCTTCATTTTGGTTTTTCTCTACTTTGTTAAACTGGTTCTTTGAGTTACCCCAGTTATTCCGTTTCAATTAGATTATATTTTAGTCAAATGTTTATGGTTAAATTTTCATGAAAGAAAGTTTTCAAGCGTGTGTGATGGTAGGATTACAAATTTGATGTGAAAAATTCACCTTATATTTTGTACTGAATTCTCAAACTTTTGAAGGGATAGATGGACACCTTGTTGTCGCAGCTTCCTTCGATTCGGTTTCGTTTCTAAGCTGAACTAGGTTCGTCTTTTTTAGAAGTGTAAACCAGTAAGCTCTTGACTTAACCAGTATGACAGAGCCTTTTATAAAAATGATAACAAGCTGTATCATATTTAAAAATTCACCAAAGAGCGGACTTTTCGAAAACTGCCGATGATCTTTCGATAACTCATGCACTTGAGAGTTTTAAGACCGGATAGAATTATAGAGAGTTATTCTATTCCTACAAAGATGGAATTGTTTAAAATCTTCCAAGAATTGAAATCCAGAACTTTAAGATTTTCCACTCAGGCAGGACTCTCGCAGATATAAATAGATAAATGCCAGTAAGCCAGAGAGGTTCAGTGCATCCAAACACCCACTTTCAAATTGCTTCGTTGGGCGAATTACGTGCATCAGTGAAATAGAAAACAGGAAAGAAGAAATGGGCTCAAAAAAATCAGTTTCAATTGCAATAAATTAAGAGAACTTGGATTTTTTGTAAAAAAAAAAGTGCTGTTTGATTTGATCACCCTACTTCACTGGAAGTTGAAAAACAAATTACGTGGGATCACTGACGTTTTAAGACTATTGAGTTTCGTCTCAGATGTGATAGGAGATTTCTATTGCGAGATCAATCATTGAAAAGTATTTCTGCTTATTAGTAAACATAAAATGTTGTTTGTAGTGGTAGATGTGTAAAGAAATATTACGTATTGTCTCTCCATTACACTGGCATTTTGCTGATTGACCTAATGGTCCGTCAGTAGTCCTGTATTTGCAGCAGTTCGTCATAGAGAATTATAATTTGTGGTGAGGCTATTGCCGTTGTTGTCTAAAGCATAATGAGGAGTTTCTACCATTAAATCAAAAGTGTTATGAAAAATAGCACGTTTTATTCTATCGAAAGAATCAGTCTACTCTTTTGACCAGAGTCCTTAGAAAATTCTGCTTTTTTTCGAATTTTTAATTATATGGAAAACTTTGATTGGTCATATCCCAGATGTTGCAATTCAAAATTGCTCAAGCGGGATAACATGCCGAGGTTTCCAGCATGGTGCAAATAACAATTTCTTCTGCGAGGCGTTCAAATGCAGTTCTTCTGCCACCGGCTTCAAAAGTAATTACCAAATTCTATAGGAACGTGCTCAGTTCATCGTCTTGAGCAATTCTTCTACCCAAGAAAGAACAATGATCACATGGTGAAAGAAACATCGCAGTGGCTGGAACACAACATGGCATTATTTGTTAGATGTCAGCATTTCATACGTTTCAGCATGATGATTCTTTGCATATGACTATTACTTGAGTAAGGGATCAGTGTTCGCAGATTGTAGGTTGTGGACAACGATCGTTCGCTTTTTTTTTTAGCACTGTGTAAGTCATCTCAAGCAGAACACTACATGTCCTACAAATGAGTTCTTCATGCCTTGTTAGTAGCTCCTTAACAACGTTGCATAGATCAAGACACATAGCAGAAATATGGTACCTTCATGTGACGACTATTCAGTTGTCTCTGAAGTCTTCAAAGAAAAGGTAGAAGGTGCACCAAATTGGTGTGCTATACTGCGGGTGTGCAAAATGGCCACACGATTTCAACTGGTTACCACTTTATGGTGTTTCATATCAATTTATCCTCTGAAATTGTGTACTTAAGAGGTTCGTTCCTCGTCCGTGGTTACTTAAACAAATAAACTTGATAGTTGAACGGCCCGTCCTCACTGGTTGTGCGGGACCCACCATAATCTCCATTTTTCGATGATTTGCTGGTTAAGCCGTTGCAGTTCCCTGGAATCGCGAGGTGAGCATGGTAGAAGTCTGCCCCAGGTCTTCACCAGCACAGGTGGTGGCAACCCTTGTGGATCAGAGGGAGATTTGCCACCATGCGACTAGTTTGATGCCAGGACTGTGGTGCATCCTGGTATTGGTTTACTCTTAGCTAGCCTTGACGCCGGACTCCTTTTCAGCGTAGAAGACCCTTGCCAGTGGACGATTCTCCCCGCTGTGCATAGCAGTCCAACACCCAAGAACACCTCCAGCCACGATGAGGCGGTAAACCATTGGGAGACTTAAACAAATAAAGGGCAAAGTATGTATGAAATAAGTTCCATGAAAAGTAAAGTCCATACATCTCTTCATATAAGGAATGCTCTGGCGACAAGGTGGTAAAGTCACGTGTTTGTCTGTTCAAGTAAGGAGTAAACGTTTAAGCATGGATTTAAAGTGGCTATAGATTTGCTCAGAAATCTACGTTGGCACGTGAGGCTGGAATCCATGCAGTCTCAGTCTGTATCTTGCATAGGATTGATTTATACTTTACGTAGTACAAGAAGTGTTTAGATCGGCATAGTTAATGTGATGACGTGTCATGTGAAATAAATAAATAAATAAAGCGAGGTCTCGTTTATAAGTTGATCAAGTTTTCAAGTCGTCATGCGTTCTTGTTATCGAAGAGTTATCAGTGTTTTCCCAAAAGTCCGCCTAGAACTGTTAGTGACAATGGTGCATATGATCAACGACTTATACTCCAATCACCTTAAGAGCCTACGCCGTGTTACCTGCGTGGTATCAGCTTGTTAAACTTCTATTTTTCTGTAGGTGATAGTGTAATTGATAAGCGGTTAAGTTCCAGATGTGAAGTTGTATAACCTGGGAAGGATCTTCACGCACTGAAGAAGGGCGCATTGGGCTTATCGACATTCGATCCAAGTCCATAAAATGCAGATAAGGCGGTCTCGTACTTTCGAAGTTCTTCATTGATTTTCAGTCTAGTGCAAATGTTAACTTTTTTCGAGTATTCGAAATACTGCCTGTTCGAAGGGCTCTATGTTGACCAGTTTCCTGATGATTTTGTTAAGAGTTGAGTTCCTAGGCGACGGAGAGAATACAGATTGAGTGGTAGTTGGACATGTCCTTTCCTCCTTTCTGTGTAGCAAAGTAGCGTGGTGAAAAGCACAGCCAGTGTGTAGATAAGAACTGGCGGCGGTCCTTCGGATATTCGGATTTAATTATATTAAGGCCGGTTGGCTTACGCGTCTTTACCGACGAGATAGCGTCTCCTACCTCGGAAGGTAGAACCATTGGGATGACATATCCTTTCTCCTCGATTTAATATGGAGACGGTATGATGTGGCTGTTAAGAAGATTAGAGTAGAAGTTCTTAGTTATATACATCATTGTCACTAAAGGTTCTAAGCTGGCTTTTCGCAAAATACTGATGTTTCTTCGATAGCTGGAATGCTCGATCTTGGATATCGTCGAACTAAGGCGTTCCCACATGGATTGGAGGAAGTCGTTGGAGAGGCGGTCAGATTAGCGTCTTGCTTCCTGATAAACTGAATCGTAAATCACTGTACTGGTTTTTGGAGTTCTAAACAAAATCTTGGCATCAATATTAAAAGTGCATTTAGGGGCAGCATTATGTTCTAATGAATGAGATGTACCTTGTTCAACTAATCCCATTTTTGAAATACGAGCCTTCACGCAAAAAAGTGACAAAAGTCAGTTTTTAAGAACCACAAAATCCTAACTTTACATTGGAGGTTACTTTTGCACTATTTGAGTGGAAATCAACTGACGTCAGACCGTAATTGATAAAATGACGAGATTTCGTCTGGTGCTGCTAGTGCTGTTCCTAATCTCTGCAGCTTCATTTATTAATACTGATGTTTTCTTCTCCGGATCTTTATCACTTCCTGACGGTTTTTGCAAATTTGGACATGAGTCGGTGATTTGCAACGGCCGTTACAATTCTACTTTTGTGCATATACGTTAGTACTAGTATATCTACGGTAAGACACTTCTTGGTGACTTTCACATTTCGGGCTTTTCAGTATTAGGGCGAAGGAGTTGGGTAAGTTGGTCGCGTTTTTCATCGATCTTGTAGATAGCGGCGTGCACCCGAAAGCCAGCCAATAATCTGAACAGTTCCCAATTTCCGGTGTGTTTGTCATCCCTTAAATTTTTCCGCCTCTCTGTTCA